AAGGAGGGGGCTTTGTAGAAAACGAAGCGTTTGAGAGAGGCGGGGCATAGAGGACCTACAATAATGTACAGTATTTGAAAAATAATGTCTTTTTTGAACATTAAAGCATGTCAACATATTCTGTTACACCAAATACACAAAATAATGATCTTTAAAAAAGCATCATATGACCCCTTTAAGAATTGCTTGTTTGTGATTGGTTGCCAGTGTCTGTTTCTGCATCTCCCAGCCCGTCCGGGAGATGGGAAAACCTGGCTGGATGCTCGGTCCGTCTGCTCATCCTATCAGGGATCTCTGGTGTCCATAGAGGACGAAATTGAACAGGGTAAAGATCACATCTTCATTATATTATAGTTTCCGATGTTTCTTTGTATTGACATTTTTGTGGCTTTTATCTTTTGGTTGAAGCCTACATCGTCATGCTGCTTCATGGCTGCTCAGCGGGGGTTTGGATTGGTGCACAGGGTCGTTTTTCCTCCAAGTGGAGCAACGGGAAGCCAGTCAGCTATAATAACTGGGAGGTATAAAGACTCAGGATTTAATATATTTGAAATGTAATTTGATTTCAATTTTATTTGAAATCGTCAAAGTTTTTCTTTTCTGTTTTTAAATGTTTTTCTTTGTGTGTGTCTGCAGGTGTCTAATTATAGATCTCCTGGGGAACCTCATTGTACTTACCTGTCCAACAGTCACAACTTCCGTGTGACAGGGCTATGGCAAGACGACGTCTGTACTGAGAGCGTCTATGGCTTTGTCTGCCAGAAGCCGCAAGGTTTTTAATTTTTAAATCATTGGCACTGACCAATATTTAATTGTGGATACATGTTCCCTCATATTTTACATTTATATTGCCTTTGTCATCATTTATCACTCACTTAGTTCAACCAAAAAAATGAAAATTTGCTGGAAATATACTCAAGTCATCCAAGATGTAGATGAGTTTGTTTCTTTATCAGAACAGATTTGGAGAAGTGTAGCATTCCATCACTTGCTCACCAATTGATTCTCTGCAGTGAATGGGTGCCGTCAGAATGAGAGTCCAAACAGCTGATAAAAACATCACAATAATCCACAAGTAATCCCCACCACTCCAGTTCATCAATTAACATCTTGTGAAGTGAAAAGCTGCTTGTTTGTAAGAAACAAATCCATTATTAGGGCGTATTATCTTTAAACCGTCACTTCTGGCCAAAATACTAAATAGTCCATAATCCATGATAATGCTTCCACCAGTGAAAAAGTCCATCTAATGTTGTCTTTCCACATCAAAATCCACATATTTGTGTAGAACTGTTTCAGGCTGTTTTCGCTTGTAACCAGTGCTCAGTCTGTGCATATTTCTCTCCTGATTTAAGACGAGGCCACTTTTCTTCTGGAGAAATCAATATTATGGATAGAGGACTCATATTTTAGCCAAAAACAGCAGTTTGAAGATAAAAACATCATAATGATGGATTTGTTTCTTACAAACATGCTGCTTTTCACTTCACAAGATGTTAATTGATGGACTGGAGTGGTGTGGATTACTTGTGGATTATTTTTATCAGCTGTTTGGACTCTCATTCTGACGGCACCCATTCACTGCACAGTGAATGGTGAGCAAGTGATGGAATGCAGAATTTATCCAGATCTGTTCCGCCATGAAACAAACTCATCTACATCTTGGATGACCTGAGAGTGAGTACAGCAGATTTTCATTTTTAGGTGAACCTTTTTTTGTTCAGCCACTGGTCAATTTTGAGATTTTGTTTCCATAACATTCACTTGCAGCATTTGAAAATTATTGATTTTGATTTGTAATTTATTTACACAAAATAATATGACATTCTATTGGTTTAGTGACCATAACATGAAACTAATTATCAGCTTTTTTATTGGTTTTTAATATTGGTGCATGTCTACTTTATCTCAGACATCACCAAGCGTCCTACACAATCCTATTACACCGCTTCCTCTCTGGACTCGTCTGAGTACAAGAACCACAGTTACCGTATCATCCGCGGCAACTTGAGCTGGTATCAGGCCCAGAAGGCATGTTTGGAGAAGGGGGCAGCTCTTGTGAGCATCACAGACCCGTTTCAGCAGGCCTATCTCACTGTGCTGATCAGCAGGCTTAAAACCCCACACTGGATCGGCTTGTACAGCACAGATGTAAGGAGGCTTTGAAATCACACTGTCATGTCATTTGATGGGTTATATTTGTGTATTAAACAAAAGCACCCTCTACCTTCATAGGATGCTCTCTCACACCAGTGGTCTGATGGCAGTGAGCTTTCCTTCACTAACTGGGAAGTGTCTAATTATTACCCAGAGGGGCCCATGGGAGATGGAGGCTGCGTGTCCATGGATGTTAACGGATGGTGGAAAGACGTTGAATGTGACATGCTCTTATCAGGAGCGATATGTTACAAACCTCCTCCAAGTGAGTCCATTTCTCTCTGTCTTTGGATTCATTTTATCAATTGTAAATAGTTGAAAACTGACTGATATTGTTGTTTGTCCTCCCACAGAAAGCATTGCTTTCTCCTATGAAGTGGTATGCCCTGAGACCTGGGTGAAGTTTCGTGGGAGCTGCTATTACTTTGAAACAATTCTATTGAAGATGACCCTGGAGGAAGCGAGAAATCACTGTAAAAAGAAGGGTATGGCACTTTGGATCAAGAGCTCCACCTAGCGTTGGCTTTGATTATCTTTGGGTGTATTTGTATAACTTGGCAAGATTATTTCCTTTTTCAGGAAATTTTTCAGATGTTCTGACAGTTCAAGATGATGAGGAGAGTCGATTCTTCCTTAAAGAGATGTCGCGTCATTACCGGGGGCCTCAGAATTTGTGACTAGGAATTTTATATGACACTGACAGTAAGAGCTGTGATGTTTGATTTTGAGCATTTAATTCTATTATAAATGTATTTGAATTATAAATAATATATAAATAAATATATTTATAAAAAAATGAATAATTTTAATTAAAATTAAATTAAAAATAATTTATACATATAGAATTTTTATATTTAATTATTTCTATATACACATTCGTTATTTTGAATTTGTATTTATATTATATGTAATATTTTTGATCATTTTTGATATTTTGATTGTAATATTTAATATTTTTGATCATTTTGATTATTTGTATTATGAATAGTATATTATTTTATTTATATTACATTTATTTGACGTTTTATGTGAAAAGTGGAAATCTATGCATCTATACATATACCTACCTATCTACCTATCTATCTATGAGATATAAAATCATGTATGTATAAATATATAAAATACTATGTATAAATTACTTATATATTTTATTTATTTTTGTTTTCTATTTATTTATATATACATTATTTACTTTGAATTTGTATTTATATTATGTTATATTTAAATTTGTATGTGAAAAATTAAATGTCTTTATGTAAGTCTATAAATGTATATATACTGTAAATATAAACATATGAATCTTGATTATATACATTATATTATTTACAATATATTTATTATTTTATTTATATTATATTTATCTCTCTGTCTCTCTGTCTTTATAGTATATATAGTTTCCCTTCCAAGGGAACTTCGAACTGCGTTCTTTAGAGGTCGCTTTGGGGAACGCCTTCAGCGTGACCAGTGTCTGAAGCATACATCTAAACATGACAATAACATTGGCCGGCGACAGCCTGTGACGTCATCACCCGGTGCGACCACAGTATAAAATGCCGCCGGGAGAACACGTCATCCTCTTCTTCCTCTTCAAGGACGGTTTTGTTGAAGCGTGCATTTCCGGTAAGAACGATTATTCTTCTTTACCATGGCGAGCACTAGTAAGGCGTTTAAGAAGCGTGTGGATCCATGTCCTCGTTATTTGACACCTGATGACACACAATCTTTGCGTCTTTTGTTTGGGCGAAGAGTATGCACGCGATGTCCTCGAGGGGGCAGTTTGCATGCACTGTGAGCTTTTTCCTATGAAAAAGGGGAAGTATAACACTGCAACCTCAGGACCTGCGGGTCCTTCTCGCGGGCTAGTACTCTTCTGAGTACATGCTTCGTGACATGCTCACTATCCTCTGGCCAGGGTGCGCTACTCATCTCTCACCCTGAGGAGTCTTCTGAGATTTGAGTCTTTCCTTAACCATCATGCACGTTCTCTGAGCTAGACGCACACTCAACACTCCCTGTCACACTGCCCTTATGGTTGAACCAGTAATGAGGTACGAGGGATTTGTGTTTCTGCGGAAACCCCTTTCTCTCTTAAATTGTCTGATCCAGCGGCTAGTGCTCTGCTGGCTCAAAGCCAGGATGAGCAGGAGATGTCAGATGAGGACAAAGAAGTCGAGACTGAGTCCTCCCAATCCTCCTGCCTTGCGTATGATGAGCTGCTTGAGGTTATGGATCGCGCCACGGTGAGGCTTGACTTGCCGTGCAAGCGGGCCAAGAAAGTGAAGCCTCGAGGCCGCCTCGACCGAGATAGAGGGCATGAGACCGTGTCCAGTTGCACCAGTGGACTGTCTCTTATTGGGCCCTGCTGGGTTACCCCTTCTAATCTAGCGCCTCCTTCTGGTTGAGCTGAGAAGTGCTCCCCTTACTGTGAGGGTTAGCTATGAGTCGCTCCCAGTATGTGCTGTACGGGCCCGCCTCCGCTTGAGAGCCGAGAGTGCTGCTCCCGAAAAACCCCATTTGCAACGAACTGAGTGTTAGGCCCGTCTCCGTCGCCTCCTTGGTCAGTTGCCTTTAATTTGGGACCCTATTGTTCCCTGTAGACATGTGTGATCTCCTTCCAGCAGGATCCCATTTCTGATGTCCCATTTGCGATCTATCTGCTCCCCGGACATGGCTGTGCTCCCCTCACTGCGGGAGGGTCCCTTTGAGCTTGCCGGTCCTGGGCAGACTGGGTGAGTCCTCCTCTCAACTTGAGAGTTAGGTCCTCTGACCCTGGACTATTGATCGCTTTGGTCAAGCTGGGTTCCTCTCTCTCCTCGCTAGGGGTTGAACCCTCCGCTCTTGAGCTCTGTGGCAGTGACATCAGGTAGTTGGGCCGCTTGCTGCTTCGCTGATAAGCTGCCTCTATTTGGGTCAAGCCAGGTCCCCCTTCTATTTTTGAAGTTGGGCCTCCTCTCTTTTGAGCTCTGGATAGCAATCATGCCAGGTGGCTGGGCCATCTCCTGCCTCCTTGGCGGGTTGCTTGTTAAGTGAGCTAGCTGTGCTCCCCTCACCATGAAGGGCCTCTTGCAAGCGCGCCGCTCCCTTCTGGGCATCTGTGAGCAGATGCTTCGGAGTCTGTTCTGTGAGCGTGCCACAGTCACGTAGGGCTCCTAGACCGGTTTAATACAGCTTCGGTTACCCCTTAAGCAACGGTGTTTCTAAATCCATGCTATGAAAAGTGCACACGCTGAGCTTCTGTGCACTTTTTAAAATCCACATTGTGGTAAGTGTGCACGCTAAGCATTCTGCGCACTTTCTAAAATCATGTATGGTAAGGGTTACGCGCTGTCAGCCTCATTCCCTTTCTCTGACTTGGTTTAGGCCCTGGTTCTCGCTTTGGGCTCCACCATAGACTGTAAAAAAAACATGGACGTAGTGTCCGTGACGTCACTCGTAGGGTTCAGAAGAGCATTTTTGAAGCCTAAAGTGGGCGGAGCCGACCGCCACCATCTTGGCAGCGCGTCACTCCTGGACAATCGAAAATGGACAAAAGAGACCAAAAGCACTTTTTGTACCAGGCTGTAAACATGTTTTTTTCTGCTGAAAATTTGGGCATTTTAACATGGGGAGTCTATGGGACCGACTCCCTTTTGGAGCCTCTAGCGGTCAGTCGATGAATTGCAGTTTTAGTCACTTCCGTATTGGCTTCAAGCGAGAGACCGGTAGGTTGCCGCTTGGGCTCCACTCAACTTATGTATCTCTGTTGATACATTTCTGAGCAGGGTGTTGCTACCAAAGATCTGTCGAGTCAGTTCTTTGAGCAGGTTTATTCAGAACCGGCGGTAACCCCCCTGGGTGGCAGGCCAAGGTCTGGTTTGGTTTTTAGACACCTGGCCGTATCCCCTTAAAGGAATCTCTTTCTTCTGATTCCAAGCCTTGAGCTCTGCCCTAGGCTTGGGCTTCCTAGCCCAGCCCTTAACAGGTAAGTTCTTTTAGGGTATGCAGCTCAGGCTCTTGGCCAAAGGGGATAATGTCACTGACAGCCTTCAAGATGTCCTTGGGGCAACTCCCATGGCTATGGTAGAGTTGGTACTTAGTGCTCGCCGTGGTTTCTGGCATGCACTCCCCTCAGCATGGTGGCGTGGTTATACCATTCCCCAAAGCGACCTCTAGAGGTCGCAGTTCGAAGTTCCCTCGGAAGGGAACGTCTCAGGTTACGTATGTAACCATGGTTCCCTGAGAAGGGAATGAGACACTGCGTCCTCTAGTTCTCTTGCCATGCTTTGGCCATAAGCCTCAGACGAAGAAGCGGATGAAGTGTTCTCCCGGCGCCCTTTTATACTGTGGTCGCACCGGGTGATGACGTCACAGGCTGTCGCCGGCCAATGTTATTGTCATGTTTAGATGTATGCTTCAGACACCGGTCACGCTGAAGGCGTTGCCCAAAGCGACCTATAGAGAACGCAGTGTCTCGTTCCCTTCTCAGGGAACCATGGTTACATACGTAACCTGAGACAATATTTATTATTTCATGTCATGTAATGTTTATTGAAAGTTTTATGTGAAACATGAAATTGTCCTTGATAAGTAATGAAAATGCTTATTGTAGCTGACGCTTTGACTCGACTGGATGGCTCACCGCTCCATTACACAAACTGGCGCTCCAGAGCTCCAGATGCCAGTGACATGAGGGCGGATTCATGCGTGACTCTGCAGGTTTCAGATGCCGTGTGGCAGTTAGCCGACTGCACTGAGAGACTGGGCTTCATCTGCAAAACCTCAACAGGTAAAAGGCGTGATTTTCAACCTCATGACCACAAGCCACCAGCGGAAGCTCAGTACAGTCCTGATCCTCTGATATTTACTCCAGTAACAATACCAGAAAATGACTGTTGGCCTTAAGGCCCGTTCACACCAAGGACGATAACGATTAAGATATAGTTCTAAAAATCGTTCTCAATATTAAAGAATAGCAGAGTCCACACCACAACTATAACGATAAAGGCACAGAGAAACGATATAGTTGGAATCACTTTCAGAAGTATTTTTTTTCCAGCTGATGAATGATAAAAACATTGACAGACAATCAGAATCCATCCTGCTATAACGAGCTCGAGAATTTAAAGCGGCAGACGCACATGCGCTTAGAATAAACAGTTCGCTGGTGTGGACGCTAATATCATTATCTTTATAGTTATCGTTCTTGGTGTGAACGGGCCTTTAGAGTGGCAACATTTCTTTGTTGCAATCAATAAATGTGCTGTATCATTCGTGCTCTGACTCACGAATTGCAAAACAAAGTATCTGTTAAAGTTCACACAGATTTGCGAAGGTCATTGTTTTTGAGAGCCAAGGCCGACAGCGATGTTTGATTGGTCAATACTACTGCCATGTAGTTGCTCAGATTTTAAAGGGGTCAGTTGACTTTTTGGGACAGTTGTTTTTTATTTTGTACTGTTCTCTGAGGTCCACTTAGGTTATCAATATTTTTACATTAATAAACATCATCATTTAGAAGTAATAGGCTATTTTCTGTCTTGTTTTTAACCCCCCTCATCAGAACGCTCTGTTTGAATAGGCGTGACGAATTGTAAACTTGGAAGTAAACGCCCACTGCTATGATTGGCTGACAGTTGTGTATGTTTAACGCTGCTGTGATTTATGTTAAAAATGCATAATGCATATCAAACGATCTGTAATAACAGACAAAGCAATAGTGATCACGTAATAAAAACAGTTACTCACACTTGTGTTGCGACATTACTGTCAGATCCAATAAAGTCGGCACAGCATTGTCTTTTAGTTTCAATCTTTCTGAAAATCCTGCCTCATATTGTGCCTTGTTTGAAAATTAATCTGTGGTCAAATTAAGTGAACAAAGGACAAATCAGAAGGAAGGCAATGCAAAGACTGTTTTTCCACAACTTGGCACTGCACAGCAATCTTGTTGTGTTCGGAGCATCTTTATCATTTGATTTCTGCGTAGACCTGTGCGTTCGCATCTAGTTATTTACACTACATGTGCGAATCGGTGGGCGGGGCTAAACAGGCAGTGAAGTGATGTAGAAGCAGACGTTGATCTTCTTCTGCAGAGGCGGTGTTTAGCCACACTATTACATCATAGAGTGGCACATTCCACAAGCTGTTGTTTTGGCAGACTGCCTTCAATATTAGCTGTTTTTAGACTAACAAGAAAGTTTTGAATTCTGAAACTTACAGGATGTTTGTATAGCACAATGACCTCTTATATGTCAAAAGATCAAGGGAATTTTGATTTCTCAGTTCATGACCCCTTTAATTAAGATGTTTTGCTTTGCATTACAGGTGCCATCAAAGAGGTAGAAGTGGAGCCACTGAAAGGTTAGACTTTTTATGCATCTCCATTTTCCTCTGTCGGCTCTGTTTCACAACACTAACTACTCCCAAAGTTGAGTGTAACGTACTTCACAATTTGTCTGCAGTGACGAAGTAAACGCCCACTGCTATGATTGGCTGACAGTTGTGTATGTTTAACGCTGCTGTGATTTATGTTAAAAATGCATAATGCATATCAAACGATCTGTAATAACAGACAAAGCAATAGTGATCACGTAATAAAAACAGTTACTCACACTTGTGTTGCGACATTACTGTCAGATCCAATAAAGTCGGCACAGCATTGTCTTTTAGTTTCAATCTTTCTGAAAATCCTGCCTCATATTGTGCCTTGTTTGAAAATTAATCTGTGGTCAAATTAAGTGAACAAAGGACAAAGTTCTTACTGACGTGGTCTGGAACTTCATTCAAAATAAAGTTCATTCACTCTTTCCTAACGTTGGAATCAGAAGGAAGGCAATGCAAAGACTGTTTTTCCACAACTTGGCACTGCACAGCAATCTTGTTGTGTTCGGAGCATCTTTATCATTTGATTTCTGCGTAGACCTGTGCGTTCGCATCTAGTTATTTACACTACATGTGCGAATCGGTGGGCGGGGCTAAACAGGCAGTGAAGTGATGTAGAAGCAGACGTTGATCTTCTTCTGCAGAGGCGGTGTTTAGCCACACTATTACATCATAGAGTGGCACATTCCACAAGCTGTTGTTTTGGCAGACTGCCTTCAATATTAGCTGTTTTTAGACTAACAAGAAAGTTTTGAATTCTGAAACTTACAGGATGTTTGTATAGCACAATGACCTCTTATATGTCAAAAGATCAAGGGAATTTTGATTTCTCAGTTCATGACCCCTTTAATTAAGATGTTTTGCTTTGCATTACAGGTGCCATCAAAGAGGTAGAAGTGGAGCCACTGAAAGGTTAGACTTTTTATGCATCTCCATTTTCCTCTGTCGGCTCTGTTTCACAACACTAACTACTCCCAAAGTTGAGTGTAACGTACTTCACAATTTGTCTGCAGTGACTATTTGACGGTTTCAAACATGGACAGCAGTCAGGCGTCATTTGAAAACACGCAAAATATGAGATGTTTTAAGGGCTGTACTTGAAAGTTTTCATCATGCACTGAAAATAAGTTGTGTGGTTTTCTTTTCAGGTCTGCACCAAGGTGTGATCTCGGCAGCTGTGTTGGTGGCCATTGTGCTGTTTGCTGTGGTGATCGGATCAACGTGGTTCCTTTACAAGAGAAACTCTCTGTGTGTCCGGAGGCTTCTGACGTTTGGCAGCGCCTATTACAGACAGACTAGTTCCCAAGCCAGTGACCAAGATGAAAATGTTTTACTCCCAGACCTAGAGACACAAGCAGGGGACTAGCATGTGTTTGTGTGAGTGTAGGTGTATGTTTGTGTTTTGCATGAGAATGTGTTTGTTCAGTCAGGGAAACTGCATTGGGAATTATGAAGATAGTCGAGTTGTCTGTCCATACTGTAGCTACAGGAGGATTTTGTGCACATGCAGGTCTTGTAAAGCTCCACAACAATCCATTTAAAAGCATTATGAAAGGGATATCCTTTATGAAGTGAGAAATGGGGCTTTTTTTTAACTTTGTCTCATTCAGGAGAACAACACAATTCCTCTAGGATGCAATAGCTAAAATGGGCCAAATGGCTTGGTGGTTAAGTGCGCTTTAATATTGTTAAGGTGTCAGGGCCTGTTCACACTATCACAAATGTTTAGCATTAAAATTTCACATGCAATTTGTCTGTTTAGACCACTGCATAAAAAAAATAAAAAACATCAGACAGTTTGAATGACACTACAGTTTCGCTCTCTGACAGCATGTTGCTCTTATAAATATTGCAAGACGCTACGCAACTTTGCGTTTCTGACACCCGCTTGTTATGGAGAAGAAAAGAAGCTAGTTCCAGATTGTTGTTGTGAAAATATGCCACCAAGTCATAGTTTTATGTAACAGCAGTGTATTCGGACACATGACCAAAAGCGTGACTATTATTGTTTGTCTAGTTTTCTTCGCAGTGCAATGGAAAAGAGATTAGAACTCCTCTATGTAGAAAATTTCTGTTTATTGGACACATTTTTGCATCAAACATTCGTCTTTTTGTGAACAGGCCTTTAAAGTCAACATGAAAATCAAAATGGACCCTATTTACTTTCTTAAAGGTGCACTCGGTATTTTTTTCCTCATTAAAAAAAGTTGTATGCATAAAAAAAAAAAATAGTATGTTGAAAAGTATGTAAAACAAAAACATTTTAAACTTTCAATACAAAAAAAAACAACAAAAAAAACTTTCATCAAAATATAATAACTTGCTCCACCTCTGAAACGAATTTCCTTTTAGATGACATCACCAAGGCCACTTACATTTTAACCAATGGTTGTGTGCCAGAAGGGGGAGGAGTCATTCATAATCGACTAAACTGTTGAGTGGAGCAGACACTTTTAACAATGGGTAACTTTTTGAAACATATTCATCACATTAGGAAAGTAAAAGGGGATGTGGTTGTCATTTCTTGTTGACTTTTAAGTGTTACGCTTTAACTTTTGCAACTATTCAACGATGCAACTTTTGGGTCTCTATGATCCTCCTATCCAGGGTGAACTGCTCTTTTGAAGTGTATTATTAATAGTTCATCTACAGCAGGATGCTTGTTCTTACAAGTAGTTTGTTCTGGTTAGAACAATAAACTACAATCAAAAAAATTCCACAAAGCCAAAATAAGCCACTGCACACCAAAGCAAAGCAGAACAGCTTGGCCATGAATAAATGTTTACCTTGCACCGCTGGTGGTGTCATCAGTATTACAACCTTATTTTAGTATTGTTTTCTCTCCTTTGATACCTGAAACTGGTTTGATCTGAAGCGTGTTTGTTAGGATGCCATGTTTTCTTTATAAGCACCTTACTTTTGCACAGCTCCCAGAGCACCGGGGCCGTGTCAATTCTTATTCTGTGGTTAAAAAACTAAGTTTGAACCCTTCATCTTCATCTTGGCTGTGTTTGCTTCTCTGTGTTTTACTGATTTGCTTCTCTGACTTCTTGCATTGTCTAACGGAAACTATTAGTGCTTCAATCATTTATGAATGTATTCGATCACAAAAATGTGAATGAAGAACATTGTTTTTAATCATCTATTTTTTCTCTACAGTTTTGGAAATAGGAACACACACAAAGTCTGTACATTTAAGTTTCAGAAATCCCTTATGTATTTCCTAATCAGCCATGAATATAAAACCCCCTTGTATATTTGGTAATGAAAGTGATTGTGATAGTGAGAACGATGTGGCAAGACAATCAAGGCTTCATTGTTTTGTTTTAATCATCGACACAGATTTCAGATATTGGTATTACACATTTTGATAAGCAGTTATATTCTAATATACAATAGGTTCTTTCCATTCTTACATTTTTATATTACTGTAAGACCGTGGGTTTGTGTGTTTTACTGTATGTGTGATTGTGTTTTAAAGGGCCTGCCTAGTGTTATTGTGTGTCACAGTTTACATTTTGTTCTTTTTATTATTCTTTAGCAGTTATGTTTCTGAAGAAGCTCAAATTGTAACTTTCAAGAGATTTTTTTGTTTTCTTCTCTAGTTTTCAAGAACACATGATCAGTTTAATGTGACCAAATGTATTTTCAATGTTTCACCTGATCTATGATTTTTTTATATATATATATAATTAAATACTCTATAGAACTCTTCTTGAATTGATCGTGACTTTTGAAAAGAGAACTAAAAAAAGTATGCAGTCAATCTATAATCAAACACACTTACAAATATAAGAAAAAATGATTTTGTACCTTCTGTTTTAAAAGGTCATTATATTAGTCACAGGTTATGACAAATTTAAGCAAAACCAACCAAAATAAAAAGCTCAAGTTAGAGTCATCTAGGTAACATTGTTCTTATGAGAAAGTGGCTCCCAACATTAAATACAACACAATAAAGTGCAAGAATCTCATATAAAATGTAGTACTGCACAATATTTGTAGCGATAGCCGACAATATATTGTATGGGTCAAAATTGTCCATTTTTATTTATGCCTAAAATCATTAGGATATTAAGTGAAGATCATGTTCCATGAAGATATTTTGTAAATTTCCTACTGTAAATATATAAAAACTTAATTTTTGATTAGTAATATGCATTGCTAAGGACTTCATTTGGACAGCTTTAAAGGTGATTTTCTCAATATTTAGATTTTTTAGCTCCCTTAGATTCCAGATTTTCAATTAGTTGTATCTTCATTTGGACAGCTTTAAAGGTGATTTTCTCAATATTTAGATTTTTTAGCTCCCTTAGATTCCAGATTTTCAAATAGTTGTATCTCAGCCAAATATCCTAACAAACCATACATCAATGGAAAGCTTATTTATTCATAATATTGATGATGCATAGCCTAAATGATACAGATGATGCAATTTCAAAAAAATTGACCCTTATGACAGGTTTTGTGGTCCAGGGTCACATATAGGCTTAAAAAAAAAAAAAAAAAATCGATGTCACAAACAAGCAGTCCAGAATTGGGGGATTAAAACCATTTAGTAATAATAATAATGAAAATTGTTTAAGTTATTAACATTACTTTAAAATTAAAAAAATATATTTATATTGAATATTAAATATTATTTTTTACAAATAATCGAATTGAATATTAATTATTTTAGATCTCTCTTTACTGACTCCCCACACTAAAATAATTAAACAAAAAATAAGCAGTACGAAATGGAAAAAAGCAGCTAAAATAACCAATGTTGTTATAAATACACAAAGGGTATGATGAGACGCACTGCACATTGGGGCGTGGCTTTTCCGCTATTACGTCCTTGACAGCTGACCAACCACAGCTGGCCCGTCGGTGTAGCGATAAACAGAAACACAAAATCTCTCACGAGTGGCGAGGCAAACATCGGCAAAGGGGATTTTCTGCCCAAACCCGGCCTGTGAGCATATGTAGTCTGAAGAGACGTATGAGTGCAGTCAGGAGAAGTTGTTTACATTTCTGATCATGGATTGGAGCACACAGCAGTTGTTTTACACTATAATATTTCTACTTTCGGGAGAAAGCGCAGTTCATTTAGGAAGTTGCGTATCAGCTGTAATCAACGGTAAGTCTGCCTTGCTGTTCTGTATATAGTGATCTTCTGTAACGTCAGACTAACTGCTATTAATACAATTATTATCGAACCATTATGAAATTTCAGAATTCAGTTTTATAACGGCACTGAAATATTAACCCTCATCATTGCCTCGGTGCAGATCATGGCTCTTATCCGCCTCGTGCAAAACGCCTCCTCATATTTCAGTGAGATTTGTGTGTGTGTGTGTGTGTGAGAGAGAGAGAGAGAGAGAGAGAGAGATAGACTTTCAGCCATTTACATTACACAATTTTTTGCCCATTAGCCTTCACACGATGAAACAAATCCATATCTATTACATATGCCATACACCTGCAATATTTGCTGTATTATATATTTCTTTAGTTATATATATATATATATATATATATATATGTGTGTGTGTGTGTACTGTATACTAAAAACTATTTAGTACATAGTCTCATAAAGTAAATATTTGGAATAAAATATGTATTTTTACATCAAACTGTTTTATATAGCTTTCAAGCTGTTTTCCTTCAAGCCCTCAGGTTTGCCATGCATTTTCAGAATTTACTTTATCATATTAAGTTGATATAATATAAGTTGATATACATAATTCAATACAGTATTATGATTTAAGGAATATCTACAATCAAATATATATGAACAAGCATTTACTTATATTATTTAATAACATTTTCTATAGTTTATTTCGTAAATGTTGTATAACTATAATAATTATTATTTTATCTATCTGTAATTGTATTATGCAATTATAAATATAATTTAATACATTTTATTAAACATTATCATTTAAGACTGAAAAAAACAAAAAAACACAGACACACACACACACACACATATATATATATATATTAGATGTACTTATTTACTGAATATAATATTAATTTGTAATGAGCAATCATGTTTTTATAGGTTTATGCTTACATTAAAATATTTTAACACACACACACACACACATATATAGAGAGAGAGAATATTTATTATTTATTATTTTTATTTTTATTATTTAATAACATTTTCATAGTTTATTTATTAAATTTAACTATAACTATATTAATTTTTAATTTTATTTCATTCTTAATCTAATTTAATACATTTTCTTAACAGTATAAATATATAAATATACAGTATATATATATGTGTGTGTGTGTGTGTGTGCACATGCTTTTGTAGGTTTATGCTTATGCAGTTAAAATACACCCTTGTTAAATATGTTTCATAGAAGCAAACAAAAAAACTTCAGCCATGTTCTTCAAAGAAATGTCGATGTGTTTGTTTTGTTGGGGCTGCAGTGCCGGCCCAGCCTCACCAGAGCACTGCGTGACTCAAAGAGCCCTTTGTTTTCTGCCTGTTGTTCTAAACAGCAAAGTCCAAAGAAGCGTACAGACACTATTATGAGACAACTTTGACACCGTATCAGACACGTGGAAAATAACTTCACTTTGGCAAGAGAGAAATACCAGTTAATAATCCGATGTTTATTTAAATGCAACATAAACACCCTGCTGAATAAACAAAGACTGCTCGAGACGTTCTGCACATCTACACAAGCAGATACGTCTTTCTTTGGCTTTCCTCACGTGGTCACCCAGACTTCTCAGTAAAAGGTCATCTAAGGACGTTTGGATCTTAATTATCTTTGTTGGTTTAGTTAAAGCAGTGATCAAAAGCACATGGTAGTTGACTGAATTAGACGTAAAACACATGTCTTTGGTTTAGCACATGTCGAGTAGGTTGCTCTCCGCCGTCATCATCTCATGCAGGATGTAATTGCGTCAAATAACACAATCTGTTTTATTTATGCAGGAGAGGACACGTTTACTATCCAGCACAATAGCAGTGGGAAGTGCCTCCTGGTCCAGGATGGAGCCTTGAAGTTGGGAGATTGTTCGCTGGTGCCGGCCGTGTCGTGGAAGTGGGGTTCGGCCCACAGACTGTTCCACATGGAGTCGTCTATGTGTCTGGGTCTGGAGGTGCGCTCCAAAATAGTGACCCTGTTCAGCTGCGACTCCACGGAGATTCTGTGGTGGAAGTGCTACGAGGACATCATCTACACGGAATACCAAATGAAACTCACTGTCGGGACCAACGACTCTGTAACTGCCAAGAGGGATGGACAGGACACTTGGAAAAGAGGAGGGAGCTCGGAAAACATCTGTCAGCAGCCTTATCGAAGTATGAAGCTGTCATTTTTGCACATGTTTATTTAGAGGTGCTGCAGCCTAATGGGTCACACTCTGGGCAGGTAGCTGAATGGTTGGAGGTTCAAATCCCAGAAAGGTGATGCCTGAATCATTGGGCCTTTGAGAACGGTTGTCTAGGGTTATGGTCCTTGTAATAAGTCGTTTTAGATAAAGACGTCTGCTAAAAGATAGCGCATATCGCTCACAAAAGTATTTTCTTGACCTGGCAAGCTCTAATCAGATTGGCTGACTCTACACAAGTTCATTTTTTCAGATTCCTAGAAACAGTTTAACTAGAAACAAAGTAGTGTTTACAAAAAGAGGTTGATGCAATTAGTGAGACTATAGATAAAATAAATAGTGCTGTCAAATGATTCATTGCGATTAATCACATCCAAAATAAAAGTTTTTGTTTACATAATATGTGTGTCTACTGTGTATATTTATTATGTTATATATAAATACACACACATGCATTCATATATTTAAGAAAAATGTTATGTTTCTATATTAAATATATTTATATATAATATAAATTATAAAAATATAAATATATACATGTACGTGTGTGTATTTATATATACATAATAAATATACACAGCACACATACATATATTATGTGAAGAAAAACTTTTATTTTGGATGCGATTAATCGCGATTAATCGTTTGACAGCACTAAAAATAAAATAATATATTTGTACAGTTATATATATATATTTTTGCAATATTATAAGAGGAGGTCACTACACTGACACATGCGGCACACACATCTCTGTTTTTGTGTTGCACAGTCTTGCAGAAAGTGCATGGAGGGTGCTTTGCTGTGGTTTAACAGTTGTTCAGATCATCCAGTTCATCTGCTTTTCCATTGCTCTGCCCTGCAGGAAGAGTCTTGAGTGTTGTTTGGTGTGATTGTAGCAATATAATACTGGAGTTTATGGGAAACTCTACCTGCTCATACATTTATTGAGCTTAGCGATTGCTTCATTTCTGGCAGTAAATGGCTAGCAAATTTACTTTTTGTTTTTCTTTCAACTAACATAGTTCCCTTTCGATACCACACTCGTACTGCGTCTGCTAAGACGCTATGGAAAAAGCCTTTTTTCTCCTGAACTGAAGCCTTTTTTCAATCACGCAGTGAAACTTCACGGCCATTGGTTCGTGCAGTGTATAAAAAACGAACCAATGGCTTGGCAGCGGAGCTGCTCGAGCCCATGGCGACAAAGCCAATTAAAAAACAAACCAATGGCTCGGCAGCAGAGCTGCACGAGCCTATGGCGACAAAGCCCGCCAGAATGGGCGGGGCATCTGGCTATATAAGCAGGCGTTCGCCACAGGATTCTCAGATTTCTTCTCCTTCAGCGACAACTACTACGTCTCTATGCTGATCCGAAGCCTGCTCGCTGTTGACACGCCTTCGCAGCTGGAATCGGGACCTCTCAGCATGGCTGACCTGCTTCTCCGCCGCTTCAGCGACGCAGCAGTTCCAGTCCTTTTCCCCTGCCGCCATCCGGCGATACTAAAAGAGCTTGGCGTTGTTGCAAATGCCGTGCCATTACTGCAGTTTGTGCGGGTCTCCCCTGCACGCCGATGACGGCCACATGGAGTGCGTTTCCTGCTTGGGGAAATCCCATGCGGAAGCTGCTCTCACGGGAACTGATTGTTCTAACTGATAGAACTTCAGTCTCGCCTCTCTCTGCTCGTGGATCGCTTTCTTTTCAGAGAGCGGCTCCGCCCCTCGCTCCCTCCAGTTTTCTTCCACGCAGGGACCTGTGAGGAAAAAACAGCAGGGCAGAGGACTCGAGCGACCGGCTGCGAGCGAGCTCACGTCGGCCCAGATCCCTCGCCCTCGCCCCAGAGAGAGTGTTCTCCCGTCCTTTTCTCCCAGTCTGATCAGTGTCCCTCTGCTGGCGCGAGCGACCTGATCTCATTTGGGGGAAGTGAGGACGAGCTGCTTGATGACAGCATGTCATTAACAGCCTCGGACGCAGAAGAGCTGTTGGGTTCGGTGACAGACCCCACCCCCTTGCCATCGTCCGCGCCCAGCACCGCCAAAAACGGGATGGATGCCGAACTTCTCCGTATCCTCTCGAAAGCGGTCAAAGAGCTGGGTTTAGAGTGGTCTCCACCAGAGGAGCCCTCTCGCAGTCGTCTGGATGAATGGTTCCTGCTGGGGCGCCGCCAGGCCCCTCGTCAGCGTTCCTCTCCATTCTTCCCGGAGGTCCATGATGAGCTCAACAGATCGTGGCGCGCTCCCTACTCCGCCCGCCTCCGTACTGCTTCTTCATCCG